CCCCTCAATTTATTTATTTTTACCTTTTTCTGTATTTTTAATTTCTGTTTTTCTTCACCAACCAACCACCCCCTCTCCCTGCGCAAACCCCCTCAAAATTTTTACTTTATTTTACTTTTTTTTTGTATTTTTAATTTTCTGTTTTCTGTTTTTTCGTTTTTTCTGCACCACTCATCCACCCTTACCCGCAAAATATTTTTCAACTTATACATTTTAAGGTAAAATGCTTTTTCATGCAAGATGAGCATGGTTCTAAAACATGAGTCAAGTTGGGCGGGTTGGGCTATGACCCATTGTTTAGCCCATCTTGACCCAGCCCATTTTAGCCCAAGTACACTTTGAACTGGGTTGGGCAATGACTCATTTATTGACCTAACCTGTCGCCCAAATTCAGTCTAACCCGCCCATTTGCCACCCTATCTTGGACTCTTATTGCCTCGAATTTTCATCCTATTCTTCAGGCAGAAATCAACCTTCTCCGTGGTTTGTAATGGTTGCTTGTTGCATTGCTTCATGCTGAATTTATACTACACCGTTTTCGTTCATAATTTTAGTCCAATGATTCCTTGTTCATCCAGTTTATTAGCTCCCTGGTTTTAGAATAGCCACCTCTTTAAGGAGCTAATTTTCATTTTCTGTGAGCTCAATTGTAATATCCTTGCACTATCTTTTTGCATCTACTTGATGCTAGCAATGAAACTTTTACTTCATCCAAAAAGATTTTTTAGCTTTCTTTGGGTTGAATTGACTCCTACTCCTAGAATATGCCATGTTTGAGTTGTTTATGATACAATTTTGGAGTAGGATACTTTAGTATCAAAATCTTCAGGAAAGAACCTCTGATCGGCAAAAGAATGTAAGAGTAAATAAATTTAAAAAGAAGAAGATGAAGAAGGAGAAGCAAGTTAGAAATTAAACTAACCAATCTTAATTATTCTTCCTGTCTGTCTCTGTATTGCTGATTGCTGGTATACTAATACTTTCAAGAATTTTTATGATATTGGTCTCATATGATACTATTTCTTATTATCGACTTTCCAATGATTTTCTGTTTCTTTGACCTAATGGCTAGGTGTTGATTTTAAAATCAAGACGCTCACTGTTGGTGGGAATAGATTGAAGCTTACCATTTGGGACACAGGTAATGGTTTTCCTGTATTCTCTAATAGCTGAGGCTTTACCTGTGTTCATCATAATCTATCTGCGCCCACAGTGAAATTATTATCCAACAGAAAATGAAGTTTTGTCCATGTCCAAATATGTTAACATGTGGCCATGCAATGAGAAACTTTATTATAAAATCATAAGAGTGATTGAAATACTTTCTCAAAACAAAACCAGCAAACAAAGCAATGGGAAGATCGTAAACAGATCCTATGAATCTTTTGTTGGCAGAGAGATCAAAGCCATTCTACTACATGATGATCCGGAACACAAAGCTAACTTTTCTCCTATTTAAGGTGGACTAGAAACCACTCTTCTCCACTTAATAGCCTCAAAATCTTACCTATCAAGCTTAATAATGCAAACATAAGGGGAGCTTGTTAAGTCTGCCTAGTGAAGTATCCATGTTCCTAATATTGTCCTGTGATTCAATAGGAAGGCGCTTCGTTGTCTTCAGTATTTTTTGAATTCAAGTTACTTTTGATGACTAAGCCAAAAGCATAGTACTTCCGGCTATAGAAGTTTTAAATTGTTTCTAGACATTTAAGTTTGATATCACCCATCATGATATCTCGATTACATATGATCAAATTAATAGTAGCAACTAAGAATTCACTGCTGCTTGTGTGTTGAGAGACAGTGAAACCAAGTTAATGAATCATCACCTTGTCCACTTCAATGCAATGGTGAATTCATGTGCTTATTTTGGTCACATGTCTTCCAGTAATATACACCATAGCAAGATTGTTTGCCAAAAATGACCTGCTGAATTGATCTTCTACCTATACTCGGCGCGCCAAAGGCTGCTACAGTTTTGGATTCTGAAATAAAGTTATTGAGTTAATACGCAACACTGTGATCACACTGCCAGTGAATGAAACCTATAATGCTCTGCTTTGATCAGAGTGGTAGAGTTTAAATTCTAACAGAATTGATGATAGTAGTTTATCATGGACATAACTTCTGTCATTGTTCTACTCCAACATAATAACCCAAATTTTTGCATCATCTTTTCCTCAGCAACATCATAAAGGCATGTACTTTTTAGGCTTACCTAGATGCCATGGCCAGGTTGTAACTTTTATTAGCATTTTTCTACAGCTGGACAGGAGAAGTTCAGGACATTGACAAGCTCCTACTTCAGAGGTGCTCAGGGAATCATTCTTGGTATGTCATAGATGAAGAAATATTACATACCATTCTAGAGGGACTACATGCCATTTTGTTCTTTGAGTTGAGAGCCATCCAAATTTCTGTTCGTGTTCAGTTTATGTGCATGTTGTGAATAGAGAATTTTTCTTTTTTGTTATAATACTGGTGAAAACGGATGTTATTGTCTTTAGAATTCTATTTATGCTTCTAATGAAATGTTAGTGCTTAAGGAACCTACATCGAGCATGCTTTCATTGTTAAGAGTGGATGATTTTAGAACTCTTCGTCTTTCTCTATATTCCCCTGTTGGAATTCTGTCCAGCAAAGTACACTGAAAAAGTTTTCTTCATCACAAACATTTAGAAGCTTTTTGCAACAGAAAAGTGAACTGACTGTTGTCTTCCTAAGTCCCCTTATCAGAGCATCATGTATCCATGTTGATGGGCTCTTACGAGCACATAACGGTAACATATGAAGACATGCAAATGATGGATTTTCATTTTTCATCTGGATAATCTTCAAATACTTGTCAACGAAATTAAGCTTTCCTAGTTGCATCAGCAAAAGAAGCATTTTCCTGCCTTATTTGTTGTGCAATACTATGTCTTGTCTAAATTTGTCATTGCATTTCTTTTCTGTGTTCATAATATCTGATTGCTGTTACTGTAAATCACAGTTTATGATGTGACAAGGCGAGACACATTCACAAACCTATCTGATGTGTGGGCAAAAGAGGTGGAGCTTTGCTGTACTAACGAGGATTGTATCAAAATGCTGGTTGGAAACAAAGTTGACAGAGTAAGTCCTGCTAGAGTGAATATGCTTGTGTATGCTCTTGAATGCTTGGAGTGCACTTTATCCTGCTGCAGCATCTGGTTTGCTTTAGAAGGTTCTTAGAATAGGAAACCATCACTCTTGATAGACAATTGATATACTGCTCTAGCAAAAACTAATAATGAGACTACCTTTTAAACATGAATATACAGGATTTCTTCCGTTTAGGAGCTGAGTTGTAGGCTACTCTCTGCCTATATATGCAAACCAAATATGAACTATAAATTACATCTCTTGTCTCACTTTGTGAACGTAACTATTATTCTACCCTTGGTGTATCTTGCTCTCATTATCCATGTGTTAATTAGAATCTTTAACATTAACATTAGAAATTACGTTCATTCCATTCACTATAAGATTATTTGATGCTTGTATAAATCTAGATGAATTATAGGACCTATTTAGCTGATTCTTTTTGGTATGGAATTTCAGGAATCTGAGAGAGTTGTGAGCAGGGAGGAAGGTGCTGCTCTAGCAAAAGAGCTTGGAAGTTTATTTCTTGAGTGCAGTGCTAAAACCCGAGCAAATGTAGAGCAATGCTTTGAAGAGCTTACCTTAAAGGTAATAATACTCCTTCACTCTTTCCGTAGGAGTCAGAAGAGATGTTGTCATGGCCCCAATACTCTTTTCCACACATTGAAGGGAAAAATGGTTTATCAACCCAGAGATATCAATAGAGAAAAAATAGAAAAAGAAAAGGAAAAAGGATTCCATAAGCTTGAACTTCTGTTGCTGACATATAAATCTGCAGAATTTGCACCTCATAAATTTGGTCGAATATGTAAATAAATTGCAAATACAGTCCGAGGACTTATGATTCTCTTTCTTGAAAATCTTCACCTTTCCAACCCATAAAACAAATAGAATTCTAGTACTCCTCTCCCACATGAATAGAAGTAGATATACAAGAATTAATTCTAGACATATTCATGAACAGATACTGATTCTCGTGATTTGAATACGAGTGTCACTTAGGCATATAAAATTGGATTGTGAATCTTCTCCTATTTTATGATTTAGGTTAAATCAGTCGCTTTTGTGAATGAGCAAATGTAGCTACCATCTCTTTATATTCATCATATGTGAATCAAATTCAAATTAATATCATGGTGGATACAGATCTAAAAATTTTGATGTTTGGTAATTGGTATTAGATCAGTTTATAGGTGCTCTAACTGACCTTTGATGGAAAACCTTTACAAAAATGTTACCTTAATGAGATATTTGGTGATGGTTTCATTATATAGACTTTGACAGAAGATTATGACAAGCAAGTTTATTCATACTGCTTGGAAAATCCTGATTACCCCAACCAAAGTCCAAACTGATGATTGGTCTAGACACTTTGTAAACTTGTAGTCACTTCCTTTTGCTTTCCCTTTTGTTCCCTTTGTCTCCCTAACTTTGAGTTGCTGCTGTGTCCTGTCCTAATTTTACATTCACCCATTTTGTTTCATGACACAAGGGTAATACCTTGACTTTTTAAGAATCTGTTGGCGCAAGTATTCAAAAACCCATGACATCTTTTTACACTTAAGAAACTATAAAATATTACTTGAAAATCACAAAAGAACATGTTTTCCGGGCATTTCTAGATGTTGACAAGATATTCAAGATGATGGTCTATCGTAAACAGTGTCTCTACCTCCACAAGGTAGGGTAAGGTCTACGTACATATTACCCTCCCCGAACCTCACATTGTAGGAATACACTAGGTATATTGTTTTTGTTATTGTTGACGAGATATTCAAGATTCACCTTTTTGTTAATCTTCTACTGTACCCAGATAATGGAGGTACCTAGTCTTCTAGAAGAAGGATCTGCTCCAGGGAAGAAAAATATCTTGAAACAGAAACAAGAACACCAAACAACACAGAGTAGTTGTTGCTCATGAAAACTCTCCAAAACTAGGGCCAACAATTGACAAATGTATCAAAGGCATGCACTAGATGCGGACAGTAAATGTCACATTTTCGTTTTCCGCATTATCAGTTGATCCAAAATGTAAATATTTCTCCCCTCTTTTATTTTAGTGCTGCTATTTAAAAGGTAATACAAATTCAGTGTATAAATGGTCATTTGTCTTTCTCCATTTTCTTTGTTCATATTGGCCAAATTGCTGATTTTGTGCGTGTTTTTCCATAACCAAATGTGCGTTCTCTCTAATTGCCTAGGAGATAATCATTCTTTTGCACTCTGCCGTATCTTTTTCTTTTATTATGTTCATAAATCTCCTTAATATGAGATCGAAGGGTGTGTTGGGCGTACGGCGGAGTTATAGTCGACGAAGGGTGACCAATTGAACATCCTTTGCCAAAATATTGTGTATAATAGGTCAAATATTACTTTTTATATACACTTTCACTACTTGGTTGGTTGGTAGGGGGAGGTAGGTAGGTGTTACAAGTGAATTGACCAAACAATGTCATAAGATAATCATTCTCCCCGAAGAAACTTTAGAGACTATTGAGGAGTTGAGGATGCAGCGCCGACGTACCAAATCTTATGAAGAGAGACATAATGGAAGTGATTTTTACTGTCAATGTGATGGTTTATTCACTTCATGATAACAAGCTGGATAGCTTCGAGTATACAGCAACTTAAGAATTTCTGCATATTATTAACATATATAAGAGTCCACCTAACTCCCACAAGCAAAGGTGAACATTTTTTTTTTTTTTTTTAAGTTTCCAATTCTGAGCAACACATTCATTATTTTCATGAGGTTATAACGATTTAGCAAGGATTGGTGCAGATGCAGCGGCGACTCAAGAAGCCTTTACAGTGGCCACTTTCAAAGCCTTCAGTGTGGCAAATATCAGCACATTTTTTCCGGCTGCGGCACCGCCCATGGAAGTTTTGGCTCCGCTTCTTGCATCTTTTTGCCTCCACCAATTCTGGTCTCATAGCTGCACACATCCAAGAAACCAATATATCGCATTATAATATAGAAATTAAAGTGTTGATTATACTTGTACTTAAAATATGGAGTTATATCATTGTAATTCAAACTTTTATGTGATGGAAAGAAGAGAGCTAAGTTTATTCATGATCCTATGAACGTTCCTTAAGGAAATGTATACTCTTAATAAAATGTTTAATTTGTAGGATCAAAACAAACTATATATGTACGTCAATTAGGATGTGGATGCTCTTGGGATAGAGCTTAATTAATTGTGTCCTTGCACGTACCTGGGAGTTTCTACCTCCAAAAATAACAGTTAATTCCGAAAAAGGAAAAGACTTGGTTAATAAATTCTTGGAAAATGAAAATGCAGACATCTAGCTTTGAAGTGTCGTCCCCCCCAAACCCCCCTCCCTCTCCTGGAATACCAGATGAATGTACTAGCTAAGTTTCAGCCTAGGGTCTATCAGGTACAGCCTTTCTATCTGCACAAAATAGGGGTAATGTAGATCACCTTAGATACGTTATTGTTGTTGTTAGCTAAATGTCAAATCTAGACTAAAGGGAGACGCAAGAAATTAATTACCACTGCCCAAAATAAGAACCAGCATGAGGAAAACTGATGATAGGCTATAATTACGTATTTTAGTCGCTTATTACACTCTAATTTACTGCACTTTAATTGAGTTTGAACTTTAATCGCTAGTGTCTTGCGCTAACTGTGTGTTTTATGCCTTGTAGGAGTGATTCCGAGCTATATAGATGTAATGGAATGAATTCAAGTGATTTGGAGCTTTGAAGTCTGAGCAAAAGTCCAAGGAATTAAGTCGGGATCGTATCAGGGGTCAACTTTGATAGTTAAGAACAAACGAAGACTTGAGTAGGCATATTGCGCACTGTCTAGTAAAATGCACATAACTTTCTGCTCAAAACTACATTTGGGCTCCACAATATATGGTTGGAAAGCTAACTATAAGGGTTACAACTTACATGTTTTACGTTTTTCCAAATTCCAAAAGGAACAGGGTGAAAAGTGTGCGTCAAGAGCGTGGCCGCGCTCGTGTGGCAGAATACTAGGCAATATGCGCAGCCGCTAGCGCAGTCACGAGCGCGGCCGCGCTAGTCAAACCCGGGAAAAGTGTCCTTTTTCACATTGGAGAAGGTATAATTATTTGGGTCCAACCCTACTTGATATATATACATGGAAAAACGGTATTTTGAGGGGGGAGACCAATTTTTGACACAGATTCGACCTAAGGAGGCAGAGACACAATAGGAGCAAGGCGGAGAATTCTTCTACGAGTTTTTCCTTCCTCTTCCTATTTTTCATTGTTGGTTATGACTTTTAGTATTGTAGTTTTACATACTATTATGAATAGTTAATTTGTTATCTAGAGTTTTGATAGAACCTTTTGTAGGATAAATTCTTGTTATGTTTTTATATAATTGAGCCATAGCTTTTCTCTATTTGTTCAACTACGTTTATATTGTGGTTGGTTGAAGAGCTCTCAATTAGCTATGCCTATTTAGTATGTATTAATNATCACTCCCGACGTATATGAGGAATCAATAACCAAGGGTTTAAAGGTGGGATTAGGGATAACGAAACCTTGGGTGCGACTAAGTGAGCTGTAATTATAGCCAGCTAGCGTAACTTGGGAGAGTATGTCTAGTAAATTGTCGTAATTACTCGGGAGAGAATTACAATACGCAGAGCGCTCATGATCGGTAGAGAATACTTAGGCGAAATTATAGAAGACATAACGGAAAGGATTCCGACAATTGGGGAAATCATAACTCTAGACCTCCTTAATCTTGTCTCTAACCCGTAGCATCTTTAATTGTTAATCTACTAATTTAATTAGTTAGTTAATTAGATATAAGAATCTTAATATTTATAACTTAGGAATTGTTCGAACTTGTCTTCTTAGCAATATTGAACAGTTGTAGCTAAGCCTTAGTTCTCTGTGGGATTCGACTCCGGACTTGTAAAACGGATTATATTTGCAACGACCGCTTAGTCCTTTTTATAAGGCATAGTTGGACGTGATCAAATTTTGGCGCCGTTGCTGGGGAACTAACGGTGTAGTTGTAGGTGTACATATTGCTACGTTTCAAGTTTGAACTTTTATTTTTTTGTATTTGATTTTTATTTTTGTTTTTTTATTTTTGTTTTACTTATTAATTTGAAAAACATGGCATCTTGGAATTATGAGAGTTTTGATATTGGTAATTCTACTTTTCATCCTTCTTATGCGTTTAGTGGAGGAAACCACCCAGAGCAAAATTATCAAAATATTCCCGAGAGCGAGTTATGTGCACTAACTCAATCTTATGTGTGAAATGTGTGCGATATGTGTGGTGGTCAAGATGGTCACTTTCATAGTTGTGCTTATAGTTCTTATCTTCCCCCAACCCCTTACTTTGATGGTTCTTCTTTTTCTTGTGAAGTTAATAGTAACAAAGAGCCCAGGTCTGAGGACCTGAAAGAGATCGAGGATATGCTAAAGTGCCTTACGGAACAATATGATGAGATACAACTGCGGGTACAAAGGCAAGGGGCAACTATTCACAACTTGGAGGCTCAAGCGAATAAATTAATTGAACCTTGTAAAGCGCAACAAGTTGACATTGTGGATAGTAGCCAATATGAGCATGAATTGGCTGTAGAAATTGCCATTATACTGTAGGATTTAAAAAAATACGAGGATAAGCTAGAGGAGGAGGCTAGAGTAGAACACCAACAATCAATCGCACTAGATTTTGAGGATGTCGATGCTGTAGAAGAGATACTAGAGTCAACCAAGGATATTGAGGATACATATTTACTTGACTCTATTGTCATTAGTGTTGAGAATGTAGACAGTCCCAATGTTCATGTAGTTGAGCGCATTGGTCCTCACTCCAAGCATTTTTCCACATTGTGTTTAGATGATAATATGGAAATAGAGTCGTCTGAGCCATTTGAGGAGTCAAGGAATGAGGTATAAAGTGCTTACATTCTGGAATTCTTCTTGCCAGAAAGTCGGGATTACACACCTAATCTAAAGGCCAAGAAGTGCAGAATACTACATTATTTTATTGGGCCAGTCAGATTCGTTCTACCATCCCAGGAGCATGATCATAGAGCAAAATCAAAACTTGGGCTCCGATTCATAAGTTCAAAGTGGAGGCAGAAAGTGATTCACGTCGTACCGCGACGTTAAATCAAGCGCTTGTTGGGAGGCAACCCAGCTTTATTACTTTCTTTTATTTATTTTTTATTTTTTTTAATTGTATTATTTTTGTAGTGTTAATTTTTTATTTTCTAGGAGCATGGAAAACAAAGGTATTGGAAGGATGCAACAGCAAACCAACTGGTTGGAACTAAGTGTGAGGTACCCGCATGAAGGACCAAGCTTGAGAGAAGTCTGAGTACCTCATGAGTTGCTAGTGCTTCGGCCTTTAGCCTACTAGAAAGTTTCTTTTACCCTTTTATTAGTATGGTGTGCATTGGGGACAATGCACAATTTTAAGTGTGGGGTGAGGAGATTATCTGGGTGACTTTCTATGCTATTTTAGTTGTGTTAGTTTAATTGAATTTTTATTTTTTATTTTTTTAGAAAAACAAAAAAAAAGATTGGACTTTTCCCGACGATGGATATCGTAGACAATTTTCTTGAGGGATTTAAGTTAAAAAAAAAGATTTTCTTTTGTTAGATAATATAGCAATTACCCCTTGGTTTTTCTTTAAAGCACGGTTCTATTCCAAGGGTTTTATTTGAACCGGGTGTAGTTAGTTTTTTTTGGGAGTAGGAGCCATTGTGTTGTGCTTTGAATTGAAGCAATATCTCTTGACTTGGTTATGCCTTGAGAATAGTGAGTACTTTGGTTGTGACGTTTAGGCTCAGTTTTTGACTCTTGTAGAAGTACCTTAAATTGTATTATCTTAACTTTGCTTAACTGCTTTGACTAGAGTGTCTATGAATCCAATCCTGAGTGAGTTATGTGCCATGTGTGTGTAAGGTTTTGCGTTATTCAGTGCATTGTATTTGATGCCTAGAACTTGCTTTGTGTGTTTGCAAAGCGAAATAGTAGTGTTGTTCAGTCTTGGAAGTGATATAGGC